CGAGGCATTTTCAAATGGCAAACTTCCGTGATCCGGTCAGCATTCAGCTTCTTTGTATTTTTCGAGAGGCAGTTCGTGAGTTGTTTCCCCCCGGCAGCAGGGAATGCTGTTGGTCATGGTTTTGTGACAGGAGCGGTCTCTCCTCCTTTGGCTCTCTGGGATGTCTGAACGTACCTTGACCTTGCCGCCGGAACCGGCGATGCGTGCGACGGCTCTTGTTTGGGCGTTGTCGCCCATGACCTGCCTGACGTCCTTGATCTCAAAGGTCTCGACTGCAGGACACTATTAGCGAAGAACCGGACAATCGGCGGACGGCCGAGCGGCGGAGGAACGTACTGTAGAGGTCGTCGAGACGCAGCAGGGCAATGGCGTCGTCGACGTCGAAGCCGAGGGTGAAGGCGCGGACAAAATCCTCGCCCTTTTGCAGAGCGCTGTCGTCGAGGGTGTGCTTGGAAGTGCGGAGCTCGACAGACTTGCGGCGCGGGTTCATGCGGACCTGGAGCTTGAGGTGGTCGACGAGGGGTGTGTAGATGTTGATCCAGTTGGTCTTGAGAGGGGTAAAGCGGTGCGGCGGGATGGGGACCTTGCGTGTCTGGACTTCTTTGGAGGTGGACTGTGAAAAAGGGGCGTGGTCAGCGCCTGGAGGCAGAGATAGGTAGATGGGTTCAGTAGAAGCGTCTTACAATGTCGTTGCCGGGGGCGAAGCGGGGGCGGTTCTCCTCGTCGATGATCATGTCGGCTGTGTGCTCATCGTTCGGAACCTTTTGCAGGATCAGGTCGCCTTCGGCGGGGAGGTCGGGGGCGTCGAGAAGGAGTTCTTCGTCGTTGGTTTCGGGCAGAGAGACGGTTGATGGCGGGGTATCGTCGACCACCTGGAGGGCGGTTGGCGCAGGCATGATGGCGGGGGAGGGGTGGTTCTGTTGTAGGAAATTGGAATATTTAGGCCGTGGGTCAACAGTCAGTGTCGCTCGTCTGATGCGTCGTAGTTGCAGTCGTCGTCGTACGTGCGAGCAGGTGTGCCGTCGTCGGTTGTCGAGTGAATGCAGACGCTAGATCAGACCCTGACCGCCCAAGTCCAGTGGAGGCCCAAGATCTCTGCTCGCTTTGCTGTGGGATTATCGCCGCATTCCCAAAATTTTGTGTCGCCCTATCGATAAGCGTGCACGAGCCACACCCGCGCCCCCAAGGTGCAAAAGCCTGAGCTAGCAAAGACTTTCATGTGGCAGCAGCGCTCCATTCAGTGCCTACCGCCAGACCAAGGCCCTTGCTTGCCATTTCATGCTGCATCCGTAGCGCGTCATGGACGCTTAACCTTACCTGACCTGACTGACTGCTTGGAGCCGGATCTGCATGAGCAAACCCCCCTCACAATCCGTATGCCCTCCCTCTAGACGATTCACCTCCTCATTCTGGGGCACTGGTTTCACCCCATTCCGCCATTCGTTCCGGAGTTGCATTTTTTCGAAAGACGAAGAAAAGAATAAAGTCATGCGCTGAAGACATGTCGAAGTTGTCGGTTCCTCTCGGGCGCCGCTTGTTTGCTTCCGTTTTCGAACCATCATCGCCAGCCCCGTGCTTCCATAGCCCTGCGAGATTCGCCGTCGCTGGCTTCCGTGCTGGCCAGGCAACAAATCATACACCTAAATACTCGAATCGACGACCGATACATACCGAGCGCCCCTCTGCACAATCGTCCGGTCCGAACGGAGCCTACACGAAGAGAAGTTTTACGAGCAGTGGTCTGCTCCTAGTCGGCCTGACCACCAATGCTTCCACTTCTGTTCCACCAGGCGCGGTAGCAACGCCTGGCAATGTCGTGTCTGAGGCAGCATCGGCAGGGCTCTCCAAAAACGCCAAAATTCAGCAACTCGCGCGCCTCGCATGGCGAAGGAGTACACATACCGACGCCAGGAGAGGCGCCCGCGTCGAGGGCAAGAGGTATAGCAGCTCGAAGAGCAACAGTAAGGACGTCGACAGCAAAACCAGCGGCGCTTCGCAGCCTTTGAAGCACGACACGCCCAAGCCGCCCGATCCCAACAAGCCGGTCACCCCCGAACACCATCACGATGACCCCGAGTCTATCGCTACGACCATGTCGAAATACCTACACATGCCCAAGATGCCGCACAGGCCAACAAGAGAGGAGCTGCTGGCCGCGGCCAATGGGTTTTGGGAACGATTCGGCGTTCGCTTCAAGTGGGCGTCCATCAGGAGCATGCGACCCTGGAATATTGACGAGTGGGGGGCCTTTGTCTCCTGGTTCCTCTTCGGGCATCTGGTCTGGATCCTCGTCGGTACTACGACCTTTGTCTCACTCTGCATCCTGTCTATCAACACAGTGGTTGCTCAGGGTAAGCCGCCGAAGCCTTGCATATTGGATGGCTCACAATGACTTACATGGCCTGCAGAAACTCTCGCTCGCTGGGTAGGCGATTCCCTGACTGAATCAGCCGGTGTCACGGTCGTCTTCGAGTCGGCTATTGTTCCCAAGTGGAACGACGGCGTCATCTCGTTCCGAAATGTCTTTGTGTCCCGACGACCTGGGCAGATCAAGTCCTCTGTGAGCAAGGGATCATCTACCAGCGCTGCTGCGGTTGCAGCCGCCGGACGTCAGCACGAACATGATGCCGAAGCGACGCCGGAAGATGACGGCAACTACACGCAATTCGACGTGACCATCGCCAACGTCAATGTCACGCTGTCCTTCCTCAAGTGGTGGAACGGCAAGGGCTTCCTCCAGGATGTCGAGGTAAAGGGTGTGCGTGGTGTCGTGGATCGTACATCAGTTCACTGGTCTGACGAGCCCGTGGACCCCCTCTCCTATCGACACGAGCACCAGCCGGGCGATTTCGAAATCGACTCGTTCAAGCTCGAGGACGTCCTGGTGACGGTTCATCAGCCAGGGGGGTTCCGCCCCTTTTCTGTGAGCATCTTCTCGGCGGAGTTGCCGCAACTTCGGAAACGTTGGCTCTTCCACGACTTCCTCTCTGCGACGCACATGTCAGGATCCTATGATGGCTCCCTGTTCACTATTCACCCTCGCCAAGTGCATGGCGCTATGGCAGGCGACAACCGCGACCTTGTGGAGAGCCTGGGCGACGAGAATGTGTGGAAAAAGTTTAGCCGTCTCCGTATCGACGGCATGAAGCTCGACCACCTGAACCGTGGCGTCGACGGACCCTTTGGCTGGATATACGAGGGCAATGTCGACATTGTCGCCGACGTCATGTTCCCGGTCGACGCCGACGAGGGTATCACAAAAGTCATGTCTGACTTTTTACGACCAGCTCGAGGAGATTGTCATCTCAAACCGCCTGCGCCCTGCTCCAGAAAGGACATTTGCGTCAGATCCTCCTCACACCCCGTCCGAA